AAATGTTAGTTTTAACGTGCCCTTTTATAGGACATACGATTCAAAAGGGTTACGTTGAAAAAATTCTAATGGGCCAGTTTCGCCTCTTATGCGCTCCTGTCCTTTATTGTTGAATCGATTACTGTTATATTGGCGATGACAGCTTACCTTGAATATATTTGCATCCTTTCTCTCATTACCTTAAATTATGGCATTTTTTTTTCTCTGAATATTTGTATGAGTAGCTGAAATTGATGACATGTTTACTGCCGTATAGTCTAACTTGTATATACGCAATTTTGTAGATAGAATAGTTTATTTGAAATCAAAAGAAGATATTGAAAACTTAGAAATAAAGATAAAAGTATGAAGAAACAGTCAGCGAAACGTTCGAACACGACTTTACCATTTGATGACGAGTTTGGATGTCTGACGTCTGTTGGATCAATCATAGTTCCAAAAAAGATAAGTCATACGATAAGCTGCCACAAGAATAATTTCTGTCAACTTAACATAATTAGTGTCTTAACTGTTCTATTCAGATATTTTACATGCACGAAGAAGGCATGGTAAATCCCTGAAAACTGTCTGTTATATATTGAGAACTAGGTTGAGATGAGATATATGTCAGTAAGAATAAGGATAAGAGTGAATCTGACTGCCCTGATCCAGATTTTGTCTTGCTGAAGACACTCGTTAGATGAGTTTGGCTTTGTTGTATTTGTGCGAACAATTTCTTAAATTTATCTAGTATTATCAAATAATACCAATTAAAATCTAGCACGCAATGCGACCGTATTCTCCTCGTTTGCATGAAAATTGTAGTCTCGATAATCCAATATTCACATAAGAGACCTTCTCTATGATATCTGCGCATTTTGTGGAACTCCCGTATATTTTCGAAGAAAATAGTGAGTGTAAGTTTTCATTTCGAGGTTTGTGCGGCTTCCCTTCCCTTCCCCCCCCCTCCTTCCCATTACAGACACTTAATAACGGAGAAACAGGACATTACAGACATACCTCCCATTACAGACAGGTCACCATTACAGAACTCAGCAACCGTGCATAAAAGACTTTAGATTCTAGATAATATATCAGTGCTTTCATAAATATTCGAAAAAAAGCTATTTTGAAGTTTAAAAATCAGGCATCACGATAACAAGTTTAAAAGATATTTGTGAGTTCCACATTTCAACTCCTTTGAAGCTGCGCTAATAAACTTTTTTCTGTCATGTTTAGGGGTGTCGCATTGGTGTTAGCATTAGCATTAATTAATGCTAATGCTAATACTTATGCATTAGCATTAATTAATGCTAATGCTAATACTTATGCATTAGCATTAATCATTAATGCTAATGCTTTGATATTAGCATTAATCGTTAATATTAATGCTTTGGCATTAATCGCATTAGTATTAATTAATGCATAGGGGTGACATTAAGGGGTTCCCCCTCAAAATTCGATCTCAGCTTCGGAACACCGAGATAGCATGAAACTTTGAGGATATGTTGGGGGTGTAAAGTACGTCTGTGGTAAAATTTTCAGCCTTCTATCCTGATGTATAAAGTAGATGCAAACCAAACAAGGGTCGAAAAATAGCTTATCGCATCACCAAAAATTCTCTATGGGTCTTCATTCAATTTGGTTCATTGTTTTTTCATATGAAAGAGCATGTAAGGATACAGTGCCTATGAGGGCCCTTTTTTTAAACTTCTTATCTTTAATAAGAAAAAAAGGCTTCACAAATTCAGTCACTCAAAAACTTCTCAAAAAAATGATGCTTATATTATAAAATCGCTTTTCAATACAAAAATAGGAAAGCTTTATTTAAAAAAGGGCCCTCATAGGCGCTGCAGTTTTTGATTCTCTTTCAAACAAAAAAAAATATTTGACTTTATATCGCATTATAGTTGACTTTTCGTGGTGATGCGTCGTTCGACTGCAACTTTGAGAAGGGTGTGGGTGTGGGTGTGGGTGTGGGTGTGAGTGTGAGTGTGAGTGTAGAAAGAGAAAACATTCATAACCGAACACCCACACCCACAGCCACACTCCACACCAAGGGAGAAAGGGCAGACTTTTGTACTTTAAGTACTTTACACTACTTTAAAGTACTTCGAGGTAATTTAAAGTACTTTTAGCAGATTTTGAGCTACTTCATACGAACTTTCAAGTACTTTAGCCTACTTTAAGCTACTTTAAGCCACTTTGAACTACTTCAAGTACTTTCAATATTTCTATGTACTTAAATATTTAAAATTTCTCAATATGACTGTAAGCACATAATGTGGATAATAGTTAATGGTTATTTTGTTTTTGGCAAACAATAATATAATATAAACCATTCAACATGCACGAGAAAAAATATCCAAATTATATCATTATATAAGTATTTCCAGAGTTTATTTTAAAGAAAGACAAAAACGCATAAGACCGAAGATCAAGTGAGAATTAAAATGAGCTAAAATAGAGAAGACATAAACATTTATATACGACTTCTTTTTATGGAACGATATTGTTGTGATTGTGATATTAAACGACGTTTACCACCATTATGTGCAGCTTGATTTGGTAATGCTGAAGAATCGACTTGAGTTGTTGTTTGTGTATTAGTTGGTGAAACAGCGGCAACTTCTATTAATGATGCATGTGATCGATTTGAAGGCGTTAATGTAATAGGTGTTGATTGTTGTTGCTGCTGTTAACTTGATTTTAATTCTTTTGCAACTTTTTTCAATTTTTTCATATGATCACATCCATTAGATTGTAGGTGCTTATAATAATTAGACACCTGAATTTTATCATCATTTTTACTTAACAATATTAATTTATTACATTTGCATTTTATATTAGCTTTTACATCAGTGTTTTCATCAAAATCAATACTTAAAAAAAATCAAAATTTTCTTGTAAATCAAAATTTTCTTTGTTATCAGAACACCATTTGTGAATGAGTTTAAGAACATATGCTTTATGTTCAGCTAAAGAAAAGGACGGGTAACGTTTTCCTGAGATTTTGGCCCACTGTAAAAATAAAGGCTGTTCCGAGTGAAACTTTCAGCAAATACTCAGCTATATACCAGTAGCCACCACACAAAATTTCAACTTGATCCGTTGAACTTTTCCTTTACTTCCACCATGCCCTAAATGTGCATATAAATATCCTATAGGGGTTATCTTGTGGGCCCTCGTTCTCGACTATACGATTCAGAACCGGAGCCATTTTTTCAGGGTCACTAGGAATCACTGAGGGCTACAATATTGCAAGGACATCAGGCCCAGAAAAAATCTGTCTTCGTATCCATTTGAAGTACACACTGTCAAAAATTCTTGA